AAAAAAAAAAAAAAAAAAAAAAAAAAAAAATAAAAAAAAAAAAAAGCTCATCTCGATATTACACTCATCGATACCTTTCATTTGAGTACCCACATCAATTTTTCATATATTTTATATATGTATATATGAAAAATATATCAAAAATGCATGTGGGTACTCAAATGAAAGCGCTTGACGAGTGTAACATCGAAATGAGCTTATATCTTTAAAAACGCCAATATTTAAGAACGTACAGTAAAATTTAACAAAAGTCATTATTTAATAAAGCAAAACTTTATTTACTTTGCTTATTTAATGAATGCAGAAAATGAAGGAAGAACAAAAGAAAAAAAACAATGAATGGGATCGTTTAATGATCGGTAATGCTTATGCTGCTGAAGCTTATAATCAACAATTAGAGCGCCAAAAAATGTAATGAAAAATTAATACTTTTGTTTTATTTAAAAATTTTTAACTGTGATTGTTCATTTTATTTTACTTTTTGCAGGGAATTAAGAAAAAGAATAGCTGAAGAAAATTTACAACTAGCGCAACAGCAGAAATCACATCAGGATTATTTGAACAAAGTGGTTTATAAGTATCAACAAGAACCCGAATTTTTTAATCAATTCAATTCATGCCCTCGTTAAATTCATTTTATTTATAATTGTAGTATCTAGTTTGATAATTTTTTAATATTAACTAACTTGTGCAAAAAAATCTAAAAACGGTCAAATTTTTGCTGCTCCAGTATCATCAATAATTTACAATTAAGATATTTAAATTATAAAATTACCAGAGTACCAGCCGCAATATAATCAAAGTCTAAAAATAATTCAAGTCGAGTTTATTAATAATAGTACGTCACACAAATAAAATTTTATTGATATCGGTAATAAACTATAATAATAATAATACAATAAATTTAAATAAATAAATTTATAAATCTATTCATTTTTTGTTTGTGTAGCTCATTCAAATAAAAACTGTATTAATTAAACCATGTCCATGCATATTTTATTTTTTACTCAAAAACAGATTATTTAACATTTCACTTAAATTTTTTTTTTTAAATAAAATTTAATTGAATTTCATTTTAACAAACTGAGTAAGAGAAAATTTTATTAGCTTATTTGTACATTCTATTTCTTTAAATTTTTTAATTTATTTTACTATTTTTATAATAAAAAACATGAATTTATAAACATGTAATTTTAAAAGCGAATGTAAACAATGAATGAAACAGTTAAGTTTCAAGTCTAAAAAAAAATTATTCAATAAATGAATAAAAAAAGATACATTAAAAAGTGGCATAGTTTATAACGAACACAAGCGGTGGTTTAGTAATTGCTTACCACTGATTATTGACTTTAAATAATTAATTAAATATAATTACGGCGCTCAATAAATTAAATGTATTATTTGGTATGCGATATTTTATGAATTAAAAATAAAAACCCGCTGATTATTCAGCTTTGATTGATTTCTTTTCTTTTTTCTTCAGCGGATTAGTTTTGCAGAACTTATAAATATTATTTAAATCGAAGGCAGCTTTCATGTTGTCCTATTAAAAAAAAAAGTAAATTAAATTATTTTCAGACATTTGTACTTCAATTAAATAAGGGAGAGACAATAAGCTTACCAATGAAAAAAGAAATTTAACAAGTTTTCCATTTTTATCAGCATAAGGCCGGCGATCAACTTCTTTGCCATTTTTGAATAGAATAATTGTCGGTAATTGTTTACTCGTACTTGCATCGCTTACATGATATTTCAACCCAGCATCAGGAAACCTCCCAATATCGATTTTACCAAATCTTAAATTCTCCAACGCATATCTAGAAAAATATATTGTTTATAGTTTTTTATCATGAATAGAAATTTTTTAGAAATTAAATTCAAGAGAAAATAACTTACTCTGCTGATAATTGAGAATATATTGGAGCAAAAGTATTACAAGCTGGATTCCAAGCTGTATAAAATGCAACAACCCACACTATGCGTGTATCTCTATTTAATTCTTCTTCAAGACCATTAGCGCCTCTGATAAATGTTATATTTTGAGGACCTTGATACGTCGGTTCAGGAAGAATTAAAGCACAAACTAGAATTTTTAAATTAATAATCAGTAAAGCTAATCAATGAACAAATAAATTCATAGTTTAATATTTTATTTCATTTTACAAAAAAAAAAATTTTTACAGAAATTTAAGTAATTTTTTCATCCAAAATAATTTTATTTATTAAAACAATCTATATTATTAAGAGAATAAGAAAAATTTTGTTTTCTGGATAGTCATATGATATAATCGGTTTTTTTTAGTGAAATTTAGGGTCATTGCAAAGGTCTTAATTTGAATTTGTGCCTTTTCAAGATTTCATATCATTCTCATAGATAGTTAATTTATGATGATAAGTATTTAGGCTGCATTCGAAAATGCTTTATCTCTAGATACATAATTAAGAAATTACCCTGTATCTTATAAACTATTGACATTTTTAATGATATTAGCTCATCCCGATGTTACACTCATCAAGACCTTTCATTTGAGTACCCACATCAATTTTTCATATATTTCATATATTTATATATGAAAAATATATAAAAAATGCATGTGGGTACTCAAATGAAAGCTCTTGATGAGTGTATCATCAGCATGAGTTTATACCTTAAAAAATGTCAATAATTAAGAAATGACATTGTATTTTGTCAACTGGTAACATTTTTAAAGATATAAGCTCATCCCGATGTTGCACTTATCAAGAGCTTTCATTTGAGTACCCACATCAATTTTTCATATATTTTATATATTTATATATATGTATATATGAAAAATATATCAAAAATGCATGTAGGTACTCAAATGAAAGGTCTTGATGAATGTAACATCGAGATGAGCTTATATCTTTAAAAACATCAATAATTACGAAATGACATTGTATCTTGTCAACTAATGATTTTTTTAAAGATATAAGCTCATCTCGACATTACACTCATCGAGACCATTCATTTGAGTACCCACATCAATTTTTTATATATTTTATATATTTATATATATTATATATATGTATATATGAAAAATATATCAAAAATGCATGTGGGTACTCAAATGAAAGCTCTTGACGAGTGTAATATCAAGATGAGCTTATATCTTTAAAGCTTATTAGATGGAATTTTCGAAATAAATTTTTCTTATTGAAATTTATTTGATAAAAAATTTCTAAAAATGATAACATGTCTCTTAATTTCAATATCATTGGCTGAGAGTTTAAACTCCTTAATCAAAGTATTAAAAAATAAATAAAGTAATTAAAAAATAAAATACTTACATATAAAAATGACAGCAAACAAAATACCCATTCTTATATCAGCATAAAACCATAAAATAAGATTTGTAATTTTCGTATAAACAAAACTAGTTGACAAATAATGTATCATTGTAACACTTCCACTTTTTCGTGTTCTTATCATTATTACAAACAATAAGAAAAACAAAATATGTGTTTCTTTCTGTAACAAAAAATAAAAAAATTAATAGGATAATTGAATACTTAATTAGTAATTTATTAAAAAAAAAAAAATCTTACCCCATCTAATTCACGTTCATCTTCAGAAAAAAGATATGAACAAATAAAAGGTACTTGTTTGGCAATAATATACGATAAACTCAAAAGAATATTAACTAAATAATAAGGTTTAAGTAACAAACGTAAATCTTCCTTAAAAGTCATCTTGAAAATTGGCTAGTGATCAACACTTTGTAAATTATTAACACAATTATTATTAATTAGCAACAGAATAATTATTTTTTATATACTAAATAATTATCCTCATTTTTTATCTCCACATTGTCAAACAAAACTTGGCAAGTGTCACTGAAAACACTTGACTGAATGTAATTAAGTTTTTAATGGACAAATATATGTTGGTCTTTTAGCGTACACACAATTGTAGTCAGTAATAAGGAAGACGATTATTTTAATTTATGATTATTCTTTTTATTTATTATACCAACGATGACGTATTTGTACTCGTCATCAATCACAGGGGATGAGATTTTTATTACGTAAAAAATATCTGGGATCTCGCTTGTTATTATTTTCATTTGCGAGGAGATTCATGAGTGCGTCTGCAGATGGAGTTACTGTTTAGTGCCAGAGCGACAGCGCTATCGTCGAATTATTATCAAATCAATTAAAAATAAATGTGTTATGTTGTTCTGCAATAGTGAGAAAAAAAAATATCTGATAAATTATGATACTAAAATTAGTAATCAGCTGTCAATTTTAAAAATTTTTATAGCAAATCAATTATAATAAAAAAATGCTTCTAATAACTTTCACTTGTAATTTTTATTAATTTTCATATGTGAAATTTTTTAATTAATTTTTTTTTTTTATAATAATTTAATTGCCATAAAATTAAAAAAAATTTTTTTTTAATATCTATTAACTTCAGTGTTGTGACAAATTTTATTTTCTTTCAAGTTACAACAAAATTACATAATAATTTAAAAATAAAAAAATATCAAATTTCAAAAAAGTTTTTCATATAATAACACTAAAATTAACCGGCGGTTTTGATTTTTTAACTTTTTTTTATTTATTTAATTGGAACAAAATAATAGTTTTTAAAAATTGATGAAAATCAAGTTAGCCGACAATTAAAAATTTTTATAATTTTTTTTATTGAAAAAATCATTACTAAAAAATAAAAAAAAAATTGCACCGTCTAAAAAACTTCAAAAACTGTAAGTGCAATTTTTAAAAAAATTTTTTTGTTCTAATTTGATTATTAAAAACAAAATCAAAAAATTTAGAACGTCGGCTAACTTTAATGACATTAAAAATTGCACTTAAAATTTTTCGCGTTTTTTTAAGCAAAATTTTATTTTTATCGGCTAACTTAATTTTCACTTTCACATAATATTTTTTTTTATTATTTAATTACATTTATTAAAAATACAAATTTACTTTGTTATAAAAATTGTCTTTGTTATAAAAATTACCAATGAGCGAAGAATTATCAATCGGAATTAAAAAACTATAGGATTTAAATCTACAACAAAATATTTAAAATTACTAAAATATTTTTAAAGATAAAGATATGAGTGTAAATTTTTTTAAACAATTCAAATTTTAAGTAAAAATTAATGTTCACATTTCTTCTCTATATATGTTTAAATATTTAGTTAAATTTTCTTATCATAAACGTATAATATAAAACGTATTTATTTTCAGTCATACGGATTTAATTTATTACAAGAATTAAAAGCAAATTTATCAATCTGAATCTGTTATACTACTTAAACAATCCCTTACAATATCACCGCAATATACACAACAATATTATTTTAATTAATGTTGACAAAAGTATATCATCTTCTACCTAATATGGATAATTCTCTATTACTCAAATAATCTGTAACATTTCTCAAAAAAGTAACAGGAAGAACGTCACCCATTATTTCAAATAAAAATTTCTCAGCTTCTTTCAACAGGAGTATTCGTTGCTTGATCATTATTTTACGATACCACAGTATTTTACTGTACTGAGTAAACTCGAAAAAATAATTCGCGTAAAAGAAGAATTCATGGCGATCAACATCTAGACACTTTAAAATTTTAGCTAATTTATTTCTATGGAAATGCAATAATTGGTAATAAGTAACATCCGACCCCGCAATTTTAGTTTCCTCCATAAATGCGACAGTACCACGATACTCTTCACGCAAGTTGTCATACTTAGCACCTTTAATAGTTTGTAAATTTTTATCACTGACATAAATACCCGCAGCAGTTAATTTTACAACATGTCTTTCAATAATAGATGTATAAGAATACAGTTTATTTTCATAAGCAATGTCATGAGCTGTATTGCCATTAATATCTACCAAATTGACGTCAATACCGGCATTCAGTAAATGGATTAAATTAGATTCGTAAATACTTTGAACAGCTATATGAAGCACAGATTCTCTTTTTGATGTTACAGTATTGATATCAATCATATACTTGTGTGTTAATAGAAATGGCATTAAATCACCATCATTCATTGAAGCAACGTAATGAAGAAATGTTGATTTTTCTCCTGATGGCCAATCAAAATTCATATCAGCACCAGACTCCAGAAGATAGTCAATCATTTCTTTAGATCTGACAAAAGTGAAGGTGCTACACAATATCGGAGGTAAAAAGTCATTGACTTGAAAATTAACAAGAGCACCATTTTTAACTAAAAGCTTAACCATTTCTAAATGATTATTTTTAATGGCTATACGCAATGGCGTAGTCGTGGAATATCCCAATGAAATATTAGAAACAACGTTAACATTAGCGCCATTATTTATCAAAAGTAATGCTATTTTACTTGCATCCAATTCAGCAGCGAGATGTAATGGCCTCCAATATTCATTCCATGAAGATATGTTAACATCAGCGCCGGCTGTGATTAATTTTTTAACCAGAGTTAAATTTTTCTTCTTTATTGCTATTCCAAGCGGTGTTTTAGATGTTGCATGAAGACAAGATACAAAATTATACTTTGGACTATTATTTACATCAGCTTTGTTTTCTATCAGAAGATCCACTATTTCTTCATTCTCATTGTTTACGGCAATATGCAATGGTGTAAAGTGATGCATCGTATTGGGAAGAATAGCATTTCTGTAAATGACAAAAGATGGATGGCCCATATATTGATCCTCTTTTATAATTGAACAACAAGCATTAATATCAGCCCCATGACTAATCAGCAACTCAACAATTTCGTAATGATTCAATTTAACTGCTAATTGTAGCGGTGTAAATTGTTCACAAACTGGAAACGGTCCTTCATATTGTGATTGCAGGTTAATATCAGCCTTGGCGTCAAGCAATTTTTTCACCAATTTTCTGTCGTTTTTCTCTACAGCTAAATAAATTGCAGGATGACAATTTTTTGAATTGAAGTTTATGTCAACAGAATTCCTCAAAAGATAATCCACAAATTTTTCGTCATCTTTTTTAATAGCGTACTGCAGATAAGTGTCAACGCTTTTCAAAAATTTTTGTACCGGTATTGTATTTGCGCTTAGAGATCCATTAATTATTTTTTCACGAACTTCGTCGTACGTCAATTGGCTATTGGATGAAATTAATTTTGATTGCTGTGTTCCCATTTTTTGATAGCTTCAAAGTCACTTTTTTGCAATAAATACTAAAAGTTATTTCTTCTTAGTCAATATTTATAATTAAATTCACAATTTTATTTCATTTATAATAATATGATAAATATTTCAATAACTTCAAACGTTTTCAATAAAGCTTACACACGTTTTCATTTCAAACTGCAGTATTGGGAAACTTAGAACTTTGATACACCAACTAGTGGTTCAAAGTGTAAATACTCAAGGTATGCTAATTTTGTGTACATGTGTACATGTGTTGCCTACTTTGAGTAGTTCATTTTTGAACACCTGAGGTCTAATGCCTAAGCCACACCTATCCTAAGGATCCCAATAATAATTATCACATTAATTACGTAGATAATGTTTGTGTTATTATTTCCAATTGTAAATATTTACATTACACTGTATTTATATTTATTTTATCGAACTTTCAATCTATAAATTCTAAGATTTTTATATAATACTTAACTAATTATTTATTTTAATAGTAATTTAGCGTCACTTTTTTTTTTTACAACACACTAGTCTGGTCATAATATAAATACTAAACTTTACAAACGCCAGCTGGAAAATTTGAAACTATTCAAACAATTCTAGATAATTTTTTTTTATCAGTTTATTAAGTAGAAATCCAAACAACATAACAGACTGATAACTTTGTTTTTAATTATTGGCTTAAATTTAATTTTTTAAGCTCTCAAGAAATTATGAAATTATCAAGTAAAGTTTTGAAAAACATTTCATAAGAATTTTGATGACACTAAAGTTGACGGACATTAGAAATTTTCTTAGAATTTTATATATAGTAATGAAATTATTATGAAAAAATTCCTTATGGGAAATTAAAAAAAAAAATTATTAGTGAAAATTTTTAGAAGCATTTTTTTATTGCAATTGATTTGTTATAAAAATTTAAAAAAAATTGACAACTGTCAGCTAACTTCTGCATCACGAATTTTGATAGAAAATTAATATTAAGTACAAATAATACTAAAGTTTGCCGACGTTTTTAATTTTTTTATTATCTTTCATTTATAAAATTAGAACTAAAAAAATTTTTTTTAAATTGCACTTATCGTTTTTAAAAGTTTTTTACAAATGAAATTTTTTTTTTATTTTTTTGTAATGATTTTTTCAATAAAAAAAATTCTAAAAATTTTTAGATCTCGGCTAACTTAATTTTCATTAAGTACAAAGTATATCAAAATTTTTAGAAATTTTTTTATCCAAAAAATTTCAATTAAACAATTAAAAAAAAAAAATATCACTTGTTAAAAACTTGAAAAACTATAAGTGCAATTTTTTAAAAATATCTTTTTAGTTGTAATTTAATTAAAAAAAAAAATCAAAAATTTTTAGACGTCTGCTAAATTCAGTGTCATAATTTTTTTTATTGAATAATAAAATTGAACGATATAACAATGAAAATTAATTTAGCGGATAGGGTAAATGCACCAATTATTGACCGATTAAGGTTTTCTTTTTCTGTACTAAGCTATAAAAAAACTATTAACTTATTAACTACAATTTGTAATCGATTTTATTAAAGTTAAATACTTAATTAATAATAATTAAGAACTATTTATAATAAAAATTAACAAAATTATATTAATTTTGTTATTAGAATCTTGAAATACTAAAATCACCAATTATTGACCGAAGAAACCCAATAAATGACCGACCGTTCTCCAATTAATTGACCGCTCAAATAATTATAAGTAATTTTGTAAACTACATGTATGTAATTAAATTTATGCAGTACTTTTGAAGTATTAACGACATCTTTAACAAAACTAAATACACAATATAATTTTAAATCGTACTTTTTTATAAAATAATATAAATAATAGCAATAATTAACATAAAGTCACATTTATTTAGGTCACAAATAATCACAAATTCATTTTAATGACGATAATTCTTCTGATTAACTTGAAATTTTTTTATTCTTCTCCTTCCTTTTTTCAAAGTATTATTTGAATTATAAATATATATTTTATAATGATTATTTTTATATTTACAAAATATTGAATGACTAAAGTACTTTAAACACTTGACAGATTTAATTTTGAGATTTATTTATTTATTTATTTCTTTAAAAAAGACCCAACAGCCAATGGCCATTAACAGGGTCACATAAGTATACAGTTGCAAATACAATATATAAAATTTCTACAAAATCATAATGCAAATACAATTTATAAAATTTTTACAAAATCATAATACAATTTTAGGTACCAACTAATTTTTATAATTAGATACACTAATTTTTAACTAATCAATTAGTAAATTCAGAAGACAAAATTGACACTAAAAATTAAGACTTAAAGAGAAGACAGCGGCCAGAGGTATTCTGGTATTCAGAGATTAAGAAGTTAGTATTATAAATATACGGTCGTTAATTGGATTGTGATAAAATCAGAGGGTCTAATTAATGACCGAATGAATTTTTTACTGGGTAAAGGGCTTCTGACGGATCCAATAGTTGACCGGTCTTAAAATAATATTAAAACTTATAATTTAACTTTATTTTTTCAAAAAAGTTAGAATCTGATCTTTAATTAACATAATAAAACTAAAATATTTTATATTATGCCGATAAATATCGCTAAATTAATGATGAAATGCACTCACTCTCCAATTGTACGTTAGTTATTTTTGACCGCTTTATGGCTGGTTGCGTTGTAAACAAACTCAGAATATTTTTTTAAAGCTATAATCACTGTGCAATTTTTTATTATGATGATTTAATGCCATATATTTTTATTTTAATACTTTAAGAAAAAAAAAACCCTTGTAAAATATTAATTAATTAACTTTTTTATACATCGGTCAACTAATTGCGGTAACCGGTCAACAACTGGTGCATTTACCCTATTTGATAATTTTTAGAATTTTTGTTAACAAATAAATTATGACAAAAAAAATAAGAAAAAAAATTGACATCTAGAAATTAAAAAAAATAAAAAATGCAATTTTTTTTAAATAATTTTTTATAATTAATTTAATTGTTAAATAAAATTAAAAAGTGGTCAGGTGATAGCTAACTTTAATGTCATATATAACAATAAAGTTAGCCGACATTTTTAATTTTTTGTTTTTTTTTTTCTCTTATTAAATTACAACTAAAAAATATTTTTTAAAAATTGATGAACTTGTATTTTTTAAACTTCTTTATCACTTGTATCGGATGCAAATAAATTATAAAAGTACAAACTACCGCCATCTTACGGAAAGGCTGACATAACATTAAAATTCATTTATCAAGCGATGTAGATAAAGAAGAACTCTCACAGTTAAAATATACTTTAGTATTTGTTTAACCACCAAATTCCTACTCTTGTATATTTTCAAGAAGAAGAATTACAGACTCTAAATAAAGTATCAAGTAACTACTATTGGTATTGCGTCGTTTCTTCATTCTTCATTTGTTGGTCGTTGACGCGACGGTTCTGCACGTTTAAAAACTGATTAAATTAAATTGAATAAAATTTTAAAAATGACAGCGCGGAGACATATTTATGAGAATACTGGGATGATCAGTGACATAATAAATTCTGGGACAGCAGTGATTAATTTTGATAACAAGGGTACAACGGACAATGCGCTGTTGAAGAAAAACCATTTTTATTACAAAGGAAAAATAATTGAATCTCATGAATGCTTTGATACTTATATTGCCCCTGGTACTCTGGTAATTATACAATTTAAATATTTTTTTTTATTAATGATTGATGAGACTGATCAGCAAAAAATTTAACCACTAGATTTTTCGACACAAATTAATTAATATTAAAAAATTACGTCTATAATTTTTCACAATTTCTTCATGTGAAAATTAAAATTAAATTAGCTGATATTTAAAAATTTTTATAATTTTTTCTATTGAAAAAATTACTACTAAAAAATTTCACATTCAGAAGATTTGAAAAATTATGAATTTAATTTTTTTGTTAATAATTTTTTTACTGGCAATTCAATTGTTAAAAAAATACTAAAATTGTTGAACGTTGGCTAATTTTAGATGAAAATTAAGTTAGCCGACATCTGAAAATCAAAAAAATTGGTACAAAAAAAAATTTTTAAAAAATGTCACTTGTAAAAAATTTGAAAAACTGTAAGTGCAATTTTTAAAAAATATTTTTTTGTTTTAATTTAATTAGTGAAGAAAAATCAAAAAATTAAAAACGTCGGCTAACTTTAGTATTATAAATTAAGTTAGCCGACACTCAACAATTTTTGATTATTAATTAAAAATTAGAACTAAAAAACTATTTTTAAAAAATTCCACGTATAATTTTTTACATTTTCTACATCTAAAAATTTTTGTTTTAACTTTTTAAAAATTATTTTTCAACAAAATAAATTATAAAAATTATAAAATGTCGGCTAATTTAATTTTCATTAATTTTAGTATCATTATGTGAAATTTTTTTTTATGATTTCTTAAAAAAAATGATAAATAGTCTATTAATTTCACTATTAACGTAATCAAAAAAATTATTATTAATTTTTTCTGTTTAATATATATTAATATACTTAATTTTTTCATACAAATAGGTTAAATTTTCCGGGTACAATTGGTCCTCAGCAGAGTACTCAGACTGCACTTGGTACGCAACCATGTGCTGGACAATTGATCACAACCCATGGTCCAGTGTTGTGATTAAAAGCGGCTTGATGTTTATAACAGGACGAGTTGCTGATCTTAATGGTCGCCGGGGTGTCATTGAGTTGACTGATAACTCAGAAAGAGTTCATAGAATTTTGTTCGTGGCTACCAAGTTCTATCCCAATGGCCAAAAATTTTCTGGCAAAATTCTATCGGAAGAATTGACTATTGGTCAAAGTATTATGTTTGACGCAATTCCTTGCATTCCTGAAGAAAATGAAGAAGGCTGCCAGTGGTTTGCTTCGTGTGCCTACGTTGGCTACAGACCTTACTTAAATATCAAGACGCCTGAGAAAATTAATGGTGTAACTGGTGGATTGTCGCCAGTTTCAAATAAATGTACTAAAATTGATGATTATAAGGTCAATACTAATGCTAGCTGCTTTAAACTTATCAAAGAGGTAATTTTACTACTTTTTTTTTGACTTAACTAAACCACTGCAATTTCACAAAAAAAAAAAATAAAATAATAATTTATTTTATTTTAAAAAATTAATTGCTAAAAAATCTTCAAATTAATTTTAATGTAATCTTCGAATCAATTAATTAGTAATAAATTTATAGTTTGTTTTTTTTTCTGTTATTTAGTACATGAGTAATCCAGAATCATTGTTCGTGTGTGGAAGAGGGATTGTTGTCGACATTATTAATGATGAATTTGGCGTTTTGCTGGGTGAATTCGGTGTTAATCATTTCCAAACAATTCTGTTTCACCGCCATAGTGTGTTTATTGATAAATTTTGTTTAACCACGGTTAATCTGGCGGAAATATTTACTAATGGTAAGATCAATATTATTTTACAGATGGTTCATAAATTAGTAATTTAGCCCCAATTATATCTTAACTTAATTAAATACGATGAATTTAAAATTTATCTCTCACAAATTTTACTAAAAAAATATTTTCTCCTATAAAAGTATCTAAAGTTTATCTTCTGTTATTTTCATTGTCAATTTAATTTTTATCTCTTATATAATACAATATAAAATTCTAATCAATCAATTTACAATTAAAAATATAAAATTAATAAAAATTTCTTAACAATAAAATTCAATGTCTGTATGTTGATGTCAGTTATGATTATGACGTTTTTAATTAATCCTGATATATTCTAGTAGGATATTTATTTGCATTGTATGATTGAATTTAAAAATAAAATTGAAATCTACAATGATAACCACTTAAATCCATCACTATCACATCAGCCTTGACAGTATTATTGTCATTAAACTTCTGAATTTGATAGCTCTTACACTACTACATTGAAGCTTTGATAAAAATTTTATTACTTATTCTTACAACTAATTGAAATTTATTCTGTACTTTAGGAGATCGATTGAAATTCATCGCCGTTGGAGCACCGCCGGGTTTTTTCACTGAATGGATCGCCGTACAAATTTCCGTGATTTTGACTGACTTGAAGAAAGAACCAGACGAAACTTGTTCAGAATTTAGTGATTCTGTTTAAGATGCTATTTTTATAAAAATGAGTGCAGTGATGTGAGTACATATCATGAAAAGAGTATTTTTTATACCATAAATTACAAGTATATTTTTCATACCAATATTGCTAAGCATAAATTATAAGTTTACTTAAAGTATGATTATTAAGAATAATTAGTTATGAATATAAAGTAATATGATAATGTTTCATAATGCATTTATATAAATCAATATAATATAATACATAATATATTATTGATAAAATGTTAATTATTAAAATTTCCATGTAATTTAATCCTTTAAACATTCAAAATATTGCGGAGAAAAAATGGTAATTATTTACAAGGTCAACCCCATTTTGGGCCATATGCAATTATTTTAATTTAACAAATTAACTCTGATAAATAAATAAATATAATTTTTTAATTATAAATTTTGAGATAATTGGTTTTTTGAGAACATTTTATTTTTTTAATTAGAATAAAATTGCAAGTGTCAAACAACTAGGCCAGTGTTAGAAACTGAGTCTTTTATCTTAGGTGAATAATTAACATTTTCAAATTTTTTTTTTTTTAATTTTGCTTGTTTTTACGGTGCATTTATGATAAAAAATGTTGTGAAAAAAAAAATAAAAATTTCGATAGCTTTTTTGCCCTCAAAAGTTGGAAAAAATTTTGGCTCAAATTTTTGGATAAAATTTCTATTTTATATTTTTTTGATATTTTTTTTTTGAAAAGTAAATAAATTTTTCTGAAAATTTGTTAAAATTGTGATAACCAACGTTTTTTTTTTTTTTTAATTCAATTTTTTATGTATTTTTAAAAAAAAAAAATATACCACTAAAATCAATTAGAAATTTCATTCAAAAAAAATAAAAATGGTTGACCCCACTTTTAAATATTTACCGAAAAAATATTTGAATGTACGTGTTAAAAATAAAAAATTTCAATTTAAAAAAGTTTCGCAGTATTCGTGAAAAAACTGTTCAAACTAAGTACAAACGAAAATTTAAATTAAAAAAAAAATAAATAACGAAAACAAATTCAAAAACTCGCATTGAATTTTTACGATCAACTATAACGCAAAAGAAAAAAACAAGATTCACCAGATCTCGCGTTCTCTCTTTGTTTCTTAAAAGTCCAAGTGTTGTTTTTATTTGCTGGCGAAGTAAATTAAGCAATTCGGATGCCGAACCGATACCCATAACATTCGGACATGTAATTTTTCTCATACCGTATACTGTCGAGCACTCGGTTCGTCCTTAAGTTATTCTTTCTTTGGAACTAACTCCATACTGATTACTTTAGTAAGCTCACCACGATATACTTTTGCCCAGTCTCTGATGGTCCCTCGAGGTCTGTTGTAGCCTCGTTATCGCTGTCACTCAGCACCTTGTACTTGCTTTTATTATATTACACATATCTCGAGAAAAAATTAATTGAAATCGACCGAAAGGTAAAAAATTACTGTTGGTAGTGAAAAATTTAACAGTATTAATTTCAATACCCATTTAATTCAGAGATAGTGACGTAGACATGCAGTGTCTGGTTAATTAAAAACAAGACACCGGAGCAGTAATGATGATGGTAATTAAATTATTATGATCTGCCTTGACCTCTTGAGGTATATTAATAGTAAAGTAAGATAAGTTGAGCGTTCCAGGAAGGCAAATCGGTCGCGGCAACATCAACCGATCTTCGAGATCTTATGCGTGTACATTATTTAGGAAGTAACCTCGAAGTAATTCGACGGATAATTTTTCCGACCGGTTGACCCGTCTTCCTTATAGGGACACCCGTGTTAATAGGAAGTAAGTATCCTTGCAAAGGCGCCCGTCCATTCTACTCTCGTATGTATTTGTACGTCGCAATCTCGTTGTCGTCCCAGTCCCAGTACCAGTCTTCTTATTCGTATTGTACCTTGCTGATGATCGTCTACCGCGTGTACCTACGGCCTCCAACGTGAAAACGATCTCGAATAAAAGTTTTGCCATCTAAGGGAGTCAAAAGGACCGAGGTAACAACACACACACACATATACTGTTATATGTGTGTGTTTTTAAGAAAAAATATATATAAGGATACACAGTACACCAATGTAAAAATAAAACACGCACTGGGCAATCGCCTCAGGTAAGGGAGTTCATGGCCTTCCGGCAAGGTAAAACAGCCACCGGCGAAATTCGACCGGGGAGAGTCATCAATCTTTTCCCCTGGATCATAAATGTTACTTCCTACTGGACCGATGTATCGTTTGGATGTTTGCTGTTTTATTATTACTTATGTGCTATGCACTTTACTTGTATTAGCTGCGGTCTGTGGTAATGTGAGATTTTATGAAATACGAGACCAATATGAATTGTTTAGGTTGTTAAACGAAACATGACGTACGTCAAATACGCTGTTAAATTTGCTTGATTCTTTTTTTTTTTTTTTTTTTTTTTTTTTTTTTTTCTGATAGTAACTAAAGTCCAGGTGGTGTAGAAATTAAAATGGGATTTTTTTTATGAGTTCTTGTGAAAATGGTCTAGCTTTTTTTTTTTTAGTTTTTATTAATGTACACTAATAAACTCGAACTAAGAATGATATTTTGAAGAAAATGATTTTCTTGAGCCAAGAGAATAAATTTTCGAGTTAAGAAATTATTCTTGGTCTAAAGAAAATTTTCTTGTTCCAAGAATTTATTCTCTTGACTCAAGAAAATCATTTTCTTCAAAATGGTATTCTTGGTTCAAGATTTTGGCTCTTGAGTCAAGTTAATTTTTTTATCAGTGCATGGTATTCCCAATGAGTAGACAAAAATGATAAATATTCTTTTTATAATTAAGGTAGTTATGGTTCGATATTGTCAAAAAATTAGAGATTATATGCACCGCAAAATTATATGAGCTTGTAGCTAAGTAATCTTAAAACTTAAATCCGTTATTTATAAATAATTAGATGGTCAAAAATTAAAAAAAAAATTTTTTTAAACTCACAACAAATACATTAAAAGACTCAGTTTTTTTTAAGTTTCTGAGAGTTTTTTTTTTATAATTAAGAAACTGGTACAGAACTGCAGAGAGCGTATGCAATCAATGTTAAATATCCAATTTTTAATCGAATTCATCTCGGGTTATAATAGGTGGTCAATTGGCTTCAAATTTTTAGGGTGATTGTATCATCATGTCCTTAATAAGTATACAAAAATTTAGAATTTCCTGACGGTATGACTTAACCACGACAACTACCTTCCTTAATTAGCAAAAAGAACTTCAAGCCAGAATATTATGCTAGTAATTAAAGTAATATTTTATGAGTTAAAATGAACTGATGTTAAAGTATTAGAATTTTATTAATAATGAAGAATAATTTTTATTATTCAATTGAATTTATTTATTTGAAAATTTATAGTATTTTATTGAATATTAGAGTATAATATTTATTTTTTAAATTAATTTTTTTGTCAAAGTTCTATTATTGAGCTTAAAATTTTATAATACTAAATATTTCAAGCATTTTGAACTTGAATATATCAGAAAGCTCCAGAGATGGCCTGCAGGGTCAACTTTTTTTCTACACTTTCACTTTCAGTTAAATAAAAAACGCACAAAATTATTTACGCACATATTTTGATATGCGTGAAGATGATACGCGGGAAGAAGTCGATCATTGCAGATAAGCTTAAAATTTAGTACGAGATATTAATAGCTCACTGAAAAATGAAGCAGAGCAAAAATGGATTAAAGGATAATTTATTCCTATTGTTTATTAGTTTATTCTTTTAGTACTTAACAGTGGAGGTTTGTTTGACTCTTGGCCTCTCAGAGGAAGAGATAATTTAAAATTAATGTTTTACCATCTAAGGAAGTCCTAAGGTCCAAACTGTGTCGTCAACACGTGTTTATATTTTTATTCATTTATTTTTATTTTTCTCTGTAGTTTGATAGAGTTCACGGTCTTACTGACCGATATATTGCCACGGGCAAGACGAGTAGAGTACACTGATCTTACAATTAGTTATGCGCCATTCGTTTTAAATACCTCAAGGATATAACTCTGAGAAATTTCATTTTAAATTATCAATTATTGTTGGGTGACTGAAATTTATAAATATTTCTTCTTTTTATTAAAATCTTTATGCGATAACATCATCAATAATAATAATATTAATAATAATAATGATTATTTGATGGACATTATTATGAATAGATAGTATTGTAAAATAACTCAATGACACTTGTTAATTTGTCTTACATTACACTAACCTTGCGATGCGGTAAAATAAAATATATGCGGGCTCATTGATATACGCTCTGTGAATTAAGTAATCAATTTTAAAAGACTGTGGGACTTTTTGTTTTGTCATTTGTTACTTACATTGGATGCATAAGGCTTCTCAATAAAGATGGTGAGAAAAAAATTGATCAATTTAGTTGGTCATGGATAAAGCCGCCGATGCTCCAAATTAGTACACCATAAAGAAAGATGACTCTTTCACAAGGAGGAAGAAAAGGTATAACCACGCAATAAAAGTGTCTGCACGTGCGAATCCGAGTACGAGGACGAGCAATCCACCTATGCATAATGCAATGTACCTCAGTCCAGGCTTACTTGTCAGAAAGTCACAAGAAAAAGCCTCCGAGAGCATGCCCTTAAATGTCTTCTGTGATACCGCTCTAGACAACGGAACGCGTGCGTCTCACCCACTTGATCTCACAACTTACACTCTACTTTTTTTTTTTTTTTTTTTTTTTTTTTTTTTCTAACAAGTTTTTTATCGTCAAAAAAAGCATCTGTCACATGGGCGAAATTTTTCTGTACTATTTCCATTCTTTCCTTTAATTGAAAAAAATCAAGTTCTTAGAATCATTTTCATACAATGTTTAATTAATTTGAAAAGTTTATAATTTAATAGACATAAAATTTTAAATAAAATTAAAAATGATTTTTCTGTTGAAATTTATATTAGATATAGTAAATTATAATTAAATTTACAAAATACATCTTCATTTTAAGAGTATTAAATTTTAATATTGGTACAAAA